CTCGAATTTCTGGCTGAAATTCCTACGTTTTTTACTCACTAATCCAAACAGTAACATACAAGAAATGGGTATTATATTTGTGCTAAGTATGATAAGAAACATGGAAGACTTTGCTGCAAAACTCATCGAAACAGACATAATAGAACTACTGAGGTCATTGAGCAAGAACGATACCATCCAAAACAAGAATATCAAGGAATTGACATCCATTGCTTTAGAGGCTGTTGTGGGACGATCTAGTAGAGAAGAACTCATTATCATGATAAAATGGGAACGTGATGCAGCATGTCGATTAGGACAATTAGACCTTGTAAATCGTTTGGAAAAAAAGTTATGGGTATATGAACATACTAAAAATGTACCCTTAAACGTATACTCAGAATTCGGAAAGATACTAACAAGACGATGATATTTTTGTTGAAAAAATACAAAATATTTGAGATTTAAATGTCGTTTATATTCTTTACATTTTAAATAAAGTGTTTTAAATAATAAAAAAAATGTTGCATTTAAATTTTTACAATTTTGTCGTAATCGTGCAATCATATAATTATATTCGTGTTTATATAAAGTATAATATATTGTATGAAATAATACGTACACGAAGATGAAACACACGGTATACATATGTATCACTGGGCCGAGCCCGCGTTTATGAAAGTCGCATGCCATGTAGCATCGTGCCTCATTTGTTACGCCGGTCAAGAGATCTAAATGTCGTTTATATTCTTTATATTTCAAATAAAGTGTTTTAAATAATAAAATAAATGTTGCATTTAAATTTCTTTTGCAATTTTGTCGTTTGAAACGTAGTCGTGCGATCATATAATTTTATTTGTAATTATATATCTTTAAATATATGTTTACTGTGCAGGACATATATACATACAGTTTATTTATTACCTAAGTTTGCCAAAGTGTAATAATATTAATATTTTGTATGAAATAATACATACATACATACATATATATATATATATATATATATATATATATATATATGTGTGTGTGTGTGTGTATGTATGTATTATTTCATACAAAATATTAATATTGTCGGCCCTGTGATATAAAATCGCGCTTTTGGAAGTCACGTGACGTGCAGCGTCGTGCCTCATTTGCTACGCCGGTCACGTGGCTAGAAACGTTCGCGACAGTGGCTGTGTTCAGCCGAACCTCTGCTTAGCGAAGCGAAAGGTAGCAACTGAATTTGATTGGTTCTTACCTTTGGATCCAACCAATTACACTTAATTGCTACCTTTCGCTTCGTAAGCAGAGGTTCGGCTGAACGCAGCCAGTGTTTTCTATAGGTTTGTTCGCGTTGCTTGAAATCCCCAAACATTTTTGCACTTGAAATGAGATAAATATATATTCGGCCGTTGGAGAGAGAGAAAGCGAAGATGCTGAGTGCAAAAAGTGCAAGCAACGCGAACAGACTCTATGATATATATCTATATCTGTCCTTGTCCACCAATCCGCTGAGTCGCATTCGAATGGGATTGGCTCTTACTTTTAGAACCAACCAATCAGCGCAGAGTGTTGATAAGACGAACTTTTTGTTGTGTCTGCTGAACACGGCCATTGAGAGTGAAGCTTTTACGTCTCGAACACAACCGCGCGCAATATGAACACTCATATGTCCTCTCTGGTTGTCTTATTATAGTCTAGTTATTTGTAAATATTTGCCACATGAACAAACATTTCACAGCTTACATGAAAGATTGATAGCGTTTTAACAATAGAAAAACCGACGATTATTAGTCGGGTTTGAACTCGGATCTCGGATCTTCGGCTCATTAGAGCAGCGCACATCTTTCTGCGCCACAATCGCACATAAGAAAGAAAACGGAAAAATACATTTGGAATTAGAAATCGGAAACTGGAATATAAACTGGAATATAAAAGTAATGATTAATATAATATTTCTTATTAGAAATTTCACTTATTATCGGCCATCAATACATCATGTCTTTAAAATATTTTTAATTTGCAGGCTGAATTACAACAGGATATAATAAATAGTCATGATGATAAACATCAGGCAGAATTGCAGATACTTCGCTCTCAATTATTAAAAATGACCAAGGAAAAAGAGCGAGAAGTTTCAATGCAGGAAGTAGAAGAAATGAATAAACTCTGAAATCATGCAGCCGAAAAATCGAAAACGATAACATTGGAAGCTGAATTGTCCACAAAAAATTAAAACCAAAGATGTGTGAAATAAATTGCTTACATTCTCTTGTGTTTCGTTTGTTTAACAGATTTAAAGCTCTTAAAACGCATATTAATGTCTGTGTCACGAATTTAACTCAAGAATGATATAATCTTGAAACTAAATTGGAAATGTACAAAGGGAAAGCATAGGTACAAATTTTGTGTTTACAAACAACTATGATTAATTGTCTAATTCTAAATACTAACAATTGCAGCCTTTTTCTATGTCAGCAATAGTATTATATGCATCCAGGATTGGAAAGCTGGATACAATTTCCAAATATCAGTTCAACTTATTCAAGCAAGATCAAAATGTTCAACATTGTATTTGATATATCAATCATTCGCGTAATTATAAGGCCAATAAAACCATAAAAGTATGTGAAGAAGATAATCATGAGTGCACACTACGACATACAATTTGTAATTTGATAATCATATACTGTTATTATTTCGCAATTACTATTCTTCGCACCTCATCCTGTTTTAATATCTGTATTTTCAGACTTAGAAAACAAATCTCATCGATTGGTGACCAGACACAATAAAGCGTAAAATACAGAATTTTAATTTTTGTAAGTTCTATTTAACATTTAAAGACTATGTGATATAAAGCACCAAGTTTTAAATTTTTCATAAAAAAAGGAGGTGTCCGGAGACAATTATGACAATTGTTTTACAGTTCTTCGTCCATGTTGAAATCTTCCTCGGGAAAATCTCCAACCTTCACGTGTGCTGGCTTTACAAATCCACCATACTTCGGGGGACATTCGAAGTATCTTTTACCACCGACACTGTCGACGACATAACAAATGTGAGAAAGGAAGAAAGATAAAGTAGTAATATATAATTAAATTGGAATTAAATGTATTCACCTCCCATCGTTCTTGCCAAGAGGCTCATCGTATTTAACACCGATCCACCAGCCTTCTTTGAATTCAGTTTTACCTAATAAGAACATAACATTTAAACATAAATAATAAAAAAAATACTTTTAGTAAAAATATGACTGTAAACGTGTTAGGATTCTACCAACCGACATATAAGATAGTAGCTCTTCGCCTCGGCTGATTTGGAACGGACACTTCGCAGCGGTCTCCAACTTTACATAAACCAGCCAAGTGTTCCTCCGCTTCTTCTTCCAGCTTCTTCTCTTCCGCTCTTCTTCTCGTGTCTTCCTCATTGTACTTTCCCAGCTTATTCTTCTCCAGGAATGCCTTAACGGTGTCTGCCAAAAAGTATAAATAGAATATACATCTTATTCATTCTTATTCATTTGATTATAAGATAAATACAAACGTATTCTCACCTGTCTTTTTAGCGTACTCCTCCTCAGATATCTCAAACTTCTTCACATCGTCTAGATTTTGTGCGATGCATGAGAAATTATCGATAACCTGCAATTGTTTGTTACATTTTATTCGCGATTTTGCAGCTGCAGATGTTCGAAGTGGATGTAAGCCTCAGTAAGATGTAAGCTTTCGTGTTGCAGTGTCCGCATACTCACGTGTATCCTCATCCCATCGTCGATCGGGTATGATCCCAAGAGACGCTGTCCTTCCTCCAATCTGCCAATGAGCTTGTCATTCTTATCATAAACTTCAACGGTCATTGTGGCCGAGTTACCGCCGGTAAGAAGCTCCAGTTTGCCCTACAATTTCGCCTTGTAAATTTCTATATGTATAATGCACAAGCGATTAATTTAGGAAGAAAGAGGCGTCTTACCTTAAATTCATGGATAGTTATACCCTTCTGAAAACGACGTTCCACCCAACATGACTCCTGGCCAGAGTTTGTGATCGATAAATTCACAAAATCGGACGTGACCACACTGCACGCGCTCATTTTACTTGATATTTGCGATATCCGGTTACTGCGGAATAGGTTAACCGATTTCAGACGTTCGCGTATCTCTTACACCATTGTTTCCGAATGCAATTTTAATGAATTTGTTAACCCTATTTCTGTATACAATCGTATGAAATAAATTCACGCGCCTAGTGTTTTCTATTCGCGTTAATTACAGAAGATGTAAACATAAACAACAGCTTGACAGAACTCCCGAAGCTCCAGCGATATGTCTCATCCCGCCATTTAAACCGATATATATGTATATGTATATATATATATATATGTGTGTGTGTGTGTGTATGCATATGTGTGCGCTAGTCGCCGTCAAATAATTGTTAAATAAGCTTGCATATTAATTATACAATATCAATTCTGTTAAAGAGCTTTTTTATAATTTTCCTTTTATACTGTTGTTTATATGTTTTAAGAATGTTCAGAAAATATACAGAATGAGTCACATAACAATTAGGAAGTTATTTCAAATTATTTCAATATCGTAATTTGCTTTAGAAATTATTTAAATATCAATAATACAATAAATATTATTAATCAATTTTAAAGTGTGTTTATACGCACCCACACACATATACATGGTGTTAGGTACTGAAATGAGAGGGACATATAATTATATTTTAAAGAGAAGAAAAAAAGGATGAGGAGAAATAAAAAAAAAAGAGCGTAGAAAAATATTATATTTCACAAAATATTATTTCATGACCGAAGAAATTAGCTTAAATAAATATCTTACATTTGAGACCGTAACAACATAGCATTAGATGCGTGTGAATGACAATTTGAGGGATCGAAAATAATACAATGTCTCTGCCAAATATGTTCATTAAAGTTATTTATTTTAAAGTCATACCTAAATTAATACGCGTTTTTGTTGTATTAATGTGGATAATCGTAAACAAAATATCAATACTATAATCCAAAACTTCAACTTTATACATAAATTAATTCCGAAACGAATAGAAAATATACAAAATGTTAAACGCATGTTAAATTGAAAGTGGTGCGGCTGTACAGTCATGGACGGAAGGATTGCCACACTTTCATTCAGTAATTTCGTATTCTACAAAAATGAGATTTCGTCCTTACGACTTTCGAGGGTCACGACGCTCGTGAAAACTCGTCAAAAAAATAAAAATATTGCAATCCTTTCGTCCATGATTCGTTAAAATGATGAGACTACATCACCGTCTTGCTTGTACAGCGAAAAAAACACATTTTCATACCTATATATATGCACATGTATATCTATATTAATTTGTTTACACTTTATCCAAGGATAACCGAATTATAATTATTATACAAGATAAACATATATATCTCTCTCTCATTCTCCACGTCGTGTTTTAAAACAGAAATGTGCTCTTAAGAAATAGAGATACGAGATTTTTCGTTTCTTTTTTTAATGACAAAGCACAGATTACAGAAAGGGGTTAAAACTTTCTCTTTCTTTCTCTATTCTTTTCTCTTTTTAAGAATAGTAGTACAGAATTATGATGTGTTATTTCCAAACAATTCTTCAATAAATTAAGCTGTTCAAGTTTTATTGCAGTACAGTTTCATATCGTTAATCTGAAGTTTCTCAATAGCATTTACCATTTTCGATCTTGTCGAAGCAATAATGACGCTTACAAAAGTTTACCCTTCAGTATCTCATAAACCATTTTGTTTCTAAAATACGGCATGTCCTCCTGCGTGAACGTTATCTTTTTGTTCGCACAGACGTATTCGGCGAACATGCAAGAGAATACGCCACAATCGCTGCCGTTCATTTGTTGCGGAATGTTCTTGGCGGGCTTCAATTTCCAGTCATTCATGTTATAAGGTTGTTTCTTTTTGTCTAAACTCTCATCTTGTAAATATTGTTTTAACGCCGCCAGACATTTTGGATTGTTGCTGCCCATACTATCGTAATAAACAATAGTTTTATTCCTGAAATCTACTATTGACATACACCAATGAATGTCCAAATGTACAGGCACAACCATAAGATCTTGCGCAAATATGTCTACCTTCCTGGTCCATCGCTTTAGCGACGAGTGACCGCCCGACAGAAGTTTTGGATAGAAGAACGTGTTCATCGCGTGTACTTTTGGATAGTTATCCGAAGATGTGCCTCTGGCGATCAGCAGATTCATATAAAAGTTAATAACTTCGTCGTTCAGCCAATTCAAGTCGGCGAGCGTGTGAAGATCCTTTCGGGTGATTCTCAGACCGAAACCTTCTGCAAGAACCTCGCCCGAAGGTCCTGGCGCGATCGCGCTTCTCACTTCTCGCAACATCACGTCGGTTAACGTCGGCAACGCCGGTTCCTCTGGCTCTTCCCGGTCTTCTATAACGGTCATGCATAATTTCATAGAACGCGCCAGCTGTTCTTCCAGGGCTGCTGCTCGCACGTATCTGTTGTGCTTCGACAGGACGCATGTCATCTTCTTCAGTTCTTCGGCCTCTCGGTTCCGTTGTTCAATACGCTCGTCGAACTTCTTATTAACTTGCGGGATGTAATCTTGCCTCATGATAGCTTTCGCGGCCAGCTCGTCGCGCAACGAATTAGTCGCGGCAACCTTAATAGGTAACCTTGACGCAGGAGCACGTCTCACTGCACCACTGGTACTGGGTTTATCAATTGGAATTATTTTATTGGACTGCAGATATGCCATGACATCCTTGTCAATCCTATAGTTTGAAGTAGGAACTATTTCTTTGTCTATTCTAGCACAGTTTGACATGCTGCTTCTATGGTATGACGGTGTCATCGTCTTAGGTATATTAGCGACAGATGAATGATTCTTGTTGTTGCGTATTAGTATTTCCGACTGCTTTTCTAAGTCAATTACTTCTATGGGTTTACGCCTCGGTGTGTATTCCGTACGTTTATCGAATACCTGTATTTTATTTTCTGGAAGCAGTTTTTGCAACATTTCTTCATACTGATATTTCTCCTTCAGTTGATTAGTTTTGGATAATGTGGGAGACTTGTGACAGGTGTCCGGCATCCTGTGTTTGTGATGGCAAATAAACTCCTTAGGCGATTTACTGTGATGCAGGGGAGAACAGGTACACTTACAACTGGAATACATAACTTCGCGTATATCGTAATGTTGCGGCTGTTTCTTATGAGTACCGTTCAACTGTGCGCACGATTTTATCGGCGAGCATTTCTGCTCGCCGAGAAACGTGATATCGTCATCGTCGCTATCATCAACGGTAACATAACGCGGCTCCCTTGTATGTGCCATGTTACAATTGGATTTAAATTTCTTGGGTGTTATATATTCTCCTTCAAAGTTGCGGTCCTCGGAAGCTTTCCGTTTCTTAGAACCTTCATCCGCCCATCCTAAGATTCTCTTCAGAAAATTAAATATCATGGTCATTTTTAATATATATATAGATCCTGATTATATTATTGTCCATTCAATATATGTTATTAGTGTAGCTCGATCTAAAAAAAAACAAAAAATAAGAAATTCTTATGTATAAATGTTGCCCTTAATATAATTTTTATATATCTTATACTTATACATATAAATATTGCAGACAAAAACCATGCAATGAAACTTTATAGCAAACTATAGATGCCAAGGGAGCTATATGTCCCATGTATAATACTAATGATATGCTCATCCAATTCCAAATTTTATTTATTTTGTATAAGACAGATACAAAGTGGGATATCATATAACCTTAAATTTTTAATAATAAATATAAGAACAATCTTCAATGCTTTGACATTCTTTTACAAAACAGGATTACTCACATTGGGCTTTTACATCAGGAAATTAGACCAAAGGATGTATAACCAAATGCCGATCTATATCTCGTTCGATCTCTAACAAAGCCACCGAGTCTGTGAGAACTGATAATAAGAATTCAACCTAAAAGAAAAGACCATCGTTATCATTTGTACCTCACAAAATTATCATCAATTAAAGTAATTTGGTCGCCTATACTATTCTGCGCTAATGTACAATAAAAGGTCTGTTTGTTTTACTTGAATGTACACTCTCTGTACTTAAAATAAAATAGGTATGTTTGAAGTTTAGCAAAAGTGAGAAGAAAAGTTCTAGTACAGTCCATGCATCAATAAAAGAGCTAAAGATTTCTTGTGATTGAAATAAAAGACACATATAATTTAACATCAGACAAAAAAAGAAAAAAATACAGAAAATTCAGCTATAAAAAACAAACCTAAAGACTACTTATGATTATTATGAAAGACATGTAATTTAGTATCAAACAGAAAAAAAGAAAGGATAAGAAAATACAGGAAATTTAGTTACAAAAAACAAAACTTATACATAAAATTGTGTAATTATAAAAACACAACGGAGACGCAGATACATATATATCTTCACCGGAAAAGATACCCGATACCCGATGTCAAAAGCAATTTTTGGCGGAATATACATTGGATATCTCAACCAGGACACTCTGTGTCGCACTTTCGTGCCCCGATGCCTTTTTTCACACGTAAAAACGTCCGTAGATCCGGTCAGTGCGGAATAGCGCGGACGTGCGAATTCATTATGAATAAAGAAATCTCGATTATGCAAATGTATGCGCAACGACGTGACGTGAGTGAGGTTAACCTCATCGCGCGCGCGGCGTGCGACGCACGGACGTGTTCCGGTCGATGCTTACCCGAGGGCTGCGCCGAATTCGCCGTACGTGTCGGAGCGGGGCCTGGCCCGGGCGACGCCTTCTCATCCGGCCTCTCAGACGCGCAATTTGTCGTCCATGGAACATTTAATTTGGCAAACGTCGCGAACATAACCAGCGGTGGCGTACCCTCCGCGTATCGCGCTCTCGGCTACCATACTTTGCGCGGAGCAGGTTGGCCACTCCCGGCCCGCGTATTTTTTCGACTCAAGCGCCTTCTCTGCTTCTCTCTCGATCTATCCTTTTCCTGCCGCATATGATACACGTTTGATTGGTTTCGGAACGAGCAAAAAGGAGGGAAAAGCCGAATCTCGGATAAGAAAAATTATTCAGACGCTTTTTGTAAAAATAGCAAATTAATAATATAAATCTTCGACCTTTTGGTAAAAACAAATTTTCGTAAAAAAAAAATATAGATACACGGTCGATCGAGCTTTTTTAATTTCAAATTATTGAAATTAAAGGGATTTAGGGCGCAACACATACATATAACGTTATATGAGATTTATTATTATTAGATATATTTATAACGTTTTCGATTCAACCCAGCCAATCAAAAACGCTATCGTCTTAAATCGTCTTAAATATGATCTTGAGATATGTTATATCAGATTCTCTGGCTGGATAGAATTTTATAAGATTAAGTACTTGACGTCCGGCGCTTGACGATTCCAAGCAAGTTTTAGGTGATCTTAACTTTATAAATGCCTATAACTAATTATTATAGTCTCGACATTTTGGTGTTGGACTTTTCGTCTAAAAATAATCTCAGAAATCTGCCCTTGAGCACAGTTTAACCAGTTACGATAGTAGCCCGCTGGTATCTGGTATTGTTCGTTCGATTTCGTATCCACGTGAAGTCGGTGAAGTTAGTCGCATGTCGCGTTGCGCACGCACAAGCACTATACGCAACCTACTTCAGCTTCAAGGAGCAGTGCTCCCGCAGCAGCACTCATCTCGTGGAGTCTCGCTTTGTTTTCGTTTCGACTCGTGCGTTTGCGACGAGTGGTTCACGCGTTGGAAATAAGAGGCAGTTAAAAATGTTCGCATATACGTACAGTTTTTAAGTTCTTGAAGAAGAATCCGCAAGATCGCAAGGTCTCACAAGAGTAACAATTACAATTAACTTTAATTATGTGTTTACAAAGTCTGAGATTTCTTTGAGGACACACCGGTGTCGTCGACACTTCGATTATGCTATAAATTTTGTTTAAATAAAAGCCGTATTGCCAAAACACTGTGATTTATTATGTTTAAAACTCTTCTGTGTTAGGTTGATTTTTAATTTTATTCATCTCGGTACTCCTTATTGCAGCCTGCGAAGAATTTTGTACTCCGAGAGAAATATATAAATAGAATAGAAAATATATACTCGAGATAACAAGATTCAGTCTAATGAGTGATAATAAGCAAGGATTTATTGCTGTACATGTTGGTATGTAATTTAGGTATTTAGGCATGACTTGTAATTAATACATATTTGTATCTAAGCTGTCGTAACATTTCGTTATTTTTTTTTGTTGGCAGGTGCTGGACAACACTCGGCGTCGCTCAGGGAAAAATATCAAAAGTTATGTCGCGATGCGTGCAAAGTGGTAAGATTTTCCAAGTGATTTAATTACACGTGATATACCTACATGTCTATAATTTTCTGTAAATTCTGTATTTTCCTTATGGCTATATGTTTCATCAGGCAGCACAAAGTTTGAAGTCCAATGGCAGCGCATTAGACGCAGTGGTCGAAGCAGTGGTTGTATTGGAAGATTCTCCTATGACAAACGCTGGATTCGGATCAAATCTCACGTTGAATGGAACGGTGGAGTGCGACGCGAGTGTAATGGACGGCAGCAGTTTGCAGTATGGTGCGGTCGGTGCGGTTAGCGGAATAAAAAATCCTGTTTTGTTGGCAAAGCGTTTGTGTGAGCAGCAGTCCATTAAGTTTGCATACGGCAGAATTCCACCTAGGTGCTCCTCTAGTTTTGAAATGTTAACGATTGTATTTTAAGCATTGTTATTAATAATTCATTCCTTATTAGCTTTTTGGTTGGAAATGGAGCACATATCTGGGCACACGAAATGGGCATACAAATTTTACCACCGGAACAATTAATATCAGGTATATAGAATTTACATAAGAAATGTTTAAGTTTTTAGCAAACCAAATTGATTTATAGTTTCTATGTATAAATTGCAGTATTTTTTATTAGTGTATATTAGTGTATGTTTTACTTATTTATCCAATGTATTTCCCCAGTGAGAGCACAAAAGATATACAAGCATTATAAAAGAAAAGTGGAAGGTTGCAGTGCCGAGGTTCAAAAGGTATGAAGAAGTTACTTTATATTAGTTTGATTTTAAGTAAAATTTACTTTTAATCATTTATTTAATTATGCTGTAGTGTGCTAAGAAAAGGATGGACACAGTAGGTGCGATATGTGTTGATGATAATGGAAATATCGCTTCGGCTTGCTCGAGCGGTGGTATAATCTTAAAATATCCCGGAAGAGTTGGGCAGGTATTTATTTATCATATCGATATTTGTACAAATACATTTTTTTATATGTAAATTTCGTTGTAGTTTACCGAATTTTTTTTGTTCTGATTTTAGGCTGGAGTATGGGGCTGTGGTGCCTGGGCTTGCAAAGATACTCCGTATTCAGTAGGCACTAGTACTTCAGGTTGTGGAGAACATCTTGTGCGCACCTCGTTAGCGCGTACAGTTGCGGAAGCTATCTCAGACACATCTTGTCCGACTACGAGTTTGCATCGAGCAATGAGCACAGATTTTATCGGTATGTCGCAGATTTAGCATAATTGGCGATTAATGAAAACGATGACAAACTGTTTGTTTTGTCTTCAGATTCGAAATTTCTCCATGGACTTGAACAGAAACTCGGTGGTGTCATCGCTGTACGGTATTCGCCACAAGAAGGATCTGGCGATTTTCTCTGGAGCCATTCCACAAATTCTATGATAATAGGTTACATGAATACATGTGAACGTGCACCTCTGGTATGTATTTTATTTTTTTTCTTTGCACTATTGTAAAGTAGTCTTTATATACATGTTTATAAATGTAAAATATTTATTTCTAAATATTTCTAAATTAATTTATAAAATAATCATTAATATGAAATATAAGTCATCTTTGTTAAAAAAATCCATTTATTTCTAGAGTTACATGTCGGTCTTACCATCGCATGAGGTAGGTAAGAAAGCTGTTGTCGAAGGTGTCTGCTTTAAACTAACAGAACCTGACAAAGTCTGAGAACGAGATTACATACGTCATCTCTCAGATGTAATAAACTTTTATAAAGAATTATTACTTACAGCCTAAAATATCTTATATATAAAATTTTTTTATAAAACCACGATAATTTCATGAAATACATAGATGCTGCCATTAAATAATTTTCCATGATCACAATTTTCTACAGCAAATATATTTTCCTAAATTTTATATTACTGTAAATTACAAGTACCTTGTATAAATGCAATGATGATTACTGTTAACATGTGCAAATACAATCCTGATAACAATTTGAAATAATATTTTGTTTATATCGATTTATATGTTTATATATACAGAAATATTTCACCTATTATATAATACATATAAAGTACATGTGTATATAGTGTCCCATTACAACCAACAGAGTCTAGAGCTAAGGTGATATCGAGATCACTTTTTAAATGGAATTGTAGCTAATTATTCAAGTGTGTAATTTAACTGTGTGTAACTTAACAAAATCTACAATTTATTTCGAGAGAAAATAAATATATTTGACACTATCAAGAAAAAAAGATTGGTTTACAATCAAAATACTGTACAATTTCAAAAAGAAAATTGATAAAGTAAATATACATTATAAAGTTCAAATAGGAAAAGAGAGAACTTGTGTCGTATACCAAGGGAGATGACCGAAGGCATCTAACCCCTTCAATCGAAGAGACTCCGAAACAATTTTTACAACTCAGAGACTCCAAAACAATTTTTGTATTAATAACTCATTGTTATTCATAGCTAAATAACGCAAAGCGAGTTCAAACTATTATCACGAATACAGAATGTAATACGAGTTTTAAAAGATTTTGTAACAAACCAGCGTTACGAGTGAAATATTTTTATATGCTATTGTATTATAACCATTTTCATATAATATTGTAAGAAAAAATACCGGATCTAATTTAGCTTTGAATAAATCTGACTCTATTATAATTAGACACTTTATATCTCAACTAATAAATATGTACATTCTCGATAAACTGACCTTTTTCTTCCTTTTCAATAGATTTCTAACCAGGATCGTAGTACTACGATTTATATCAAACCGACTTCCATGATTATTTCAGTAGAAAACTATATACACAAATTATAAACTGCCTATGTCGTTGAATCGTTTCAATTTCTCCGGAAATACGTCTTTGAAGAGCACCGGATCTGCACGAAACTCAACTGACTCCAACGGCATAGTCCCATAAATAGAAGAAAATTTATTTATACACTGTGTTCGTTCCACCATGTGCGTCAAATCCGCGGACAACATTTCGGTATTGGTACACTCGGGACATCGGAACTTCTTCTTTGGTGTCACCTATAAGATTTTAGACAATTTTTTAGATAACGCCAGTACATTGGTTAAAAGTCTTGCCTACCTTTAATGGTGCTTTCCCAGTAATATTTGCTACCAGAAAATTCATCGCGATGTCCTCGCAATTCATGTGCTCGTCGACCCATTCCTTTATGTCTCCAGGCATGGCCGTAGTATATATGTAATTCCAATACTGAAAGACATTGAGAAAGACGTAAAGTTTCATGTGATAATTGCACGATCCAATGCTCGTATGAGAAATGGTGTAATTTACTTTGTTGGATTAACTTATATGTTCTTGAGGTGAGGATAACAGGAGAGGATGTTAGTTTTTTGCTGGAAAAAATAAAATCAAAGGATTTTTAGTAATATGTTTGTGACCTGAAATGTTAAATAAAAATGTTGAATACAACAATTGAGCGCGTTGTTGAACAGAGAACAGCATAAGCGTTTGTATTGTAAGTTTAACAGCATCAGCTTACTTTATGATGAAAAGCCGCCCCTGTTAAAACCATAGAAATACTATTCGTCCATTCGCTTTCGTACTTCCAACAGTTAGTGCCATTATCCCACATATGTAAGCGAGACGGAAATCCAACGATTCTATCCGGGAATTCTCTCCACACCTACAAGTTTACCATATATGTTTACAATATATGTTTTAATTCAATTAGAGTATTAGAAAAGATAATATAAATATACTGTGTATGTAATTTTCAAGATATATAAATATCTCAAATACTTGTATAAATATTTCAGACAAATTAGCGATACCTCATAAGCGAATTCCACTTCATCAGCAGTCAACATGATAATATCATCATCTATTGATAACACTGCTTCAGTTTCAATCTCGTCATATGGATAGAAACGGTTGGACAACTTATTTTCTTTCGTTTGTATTACTTTTAATGGCTTACTGACTTTTGGCCACCTAGTTGCTACAATGTTACAATATTGAATTATGAAGAATAAAATTAACGTACGTACTTAAAACTTAATAGATAATTAAGATGAATATATTAAAAACTCTTACAATGCGGTGGATCTTTATGCTGATTATTCCAAATTACTAGAACTTTGGACAGACTCGGCACCTTCACAAGTTTATTAATTAATAGGAACAGCAACTCCAGTCTGTCGTACGTTAATATTACAGCAGTAAAGCCACGTGTCTTAGGAGCAGTCACCGGCAGAAAAAGTGGTGAAGGCTTTCCCTGCATAAAACGATTTGCTTGACATGGGAAAAGATCAAGCTTCCTTGTTTTAGTAATTCTATCTACCTTGTAAGGTGATACGTTCCAATATGAGTAATCTCGCGTTAAATACGGAAATACGCGATCCGCAAGTATTTCTAATGTAGTTTCGGTGATCTTCTCCATCGAACTGAAGTAACGATCGTAGAGCCACGCATTCTGTTCCTGCATCTCCGTGATGCGTTGGTGAGATATCTTTTTTAGCAGTTGTATCGTTAACAAAATGTCAACTTCACGTATAAAAACAGCAGCTCTGACGATAAGAGAGAATTTATAAATGAAATGAATCATGTATTAAAAGATAATATAGAAAATATTTATTTATGAGTGCATCTTACTTGGTCCAATCGATTACGTCATGAAATGGCATTATTAGAGAATCAGCTATAATTACAGGTATACAACCAGCAGCCATCGCATCCAAGAGTGCACTTTGGGCAAGTCTAGCACCACGAATTATCAGACAAAATGTTGCTGTCTAAAGATAAAAAAATATACTTTCAATCATGTTTTAATAAAGGAAAATATTTTGCATTAATTACAATTGTATTACTTGCAAGCTATCAGGATACTTGTATATATCTTCTCCTATGCAACGTATTGTATTATTCATTGGATTAAAATGTAGACATGGACCCAGCACCAAAATGTTTTTTGGATACGTCGTTTTTATTTCCATCAAATCTTGCTCAAAAGCAGTATTAATGTTGATTTGCGAAGACATCACTAGCCATAGTCTAAAATATAAAACAATCGTTACTACATATATGTGTAATGAGACACAACACGTGCATGACATTACCTCATATTACTATGATTCGTTTTCAGATTATTTACAAGTGGACTGTAGACCGGTAGACTAATGTCGAAGCTAGGCCTGTATGTCAACGATGACATTCCAGCGCCTGCAATCATCGCTCTCCCTACCGGTACATCGATGACCGTGTTGTAGTCTGGTACGCTTCCAGGCACCATATTGAAGATTAGATGATTCTCTCCTTTGTTCCAGAAAGGTAACGCTCTCAGCGCCTGAGAGACCTCTTGTAATCTCAATCTATTCTGGTTGAGAGTGTCGATGGAAGGGACAAAAATGCAAGCTTCGTATGGGTTAGGAGTATAAAATTTACTGCTGATAATAGCACTCAGAACTTGATAGAACTCTTTCGTCATCTGGCCAGTTACCGGTCTATTCGCGGAGTCCAGGTATACCTTGAGCGGATAGACGTACACCAGAAGCTTGGTCCCCTGGCTGCCGCATCGGTACACGTTGAAACAGGAGAAGTATGTGCAAGAAGAATTGGTCGCGTCTGCTGCACTCGAGTCGGCAGGTAACGTTTGGCTGGGCAAAGCGTTTATGTCGCTCAACGTTATAGGAATATGTTCGGAATGTTTCTGCGTATTGCCAAATTTGAAATAGCACACCGAGATCAGTACAATAAATAATGTAAATAGTAATAGACATATCATAAAGATATTGTGATAATGGTATGAAATTCTGTTGGCTTTATGTGCTATACGTGCCGGTAATACCATGTCTTTTTCTTTCTTTCTCTCTCTTCCTATGAGATATCGCAAAATATATTGTTCTATACAGATCTCATTCAAGTATATAAATTTCCCTTCCAATAACGTCAAACATCTGCAGAGGGTATAGTTGACAAGTTGACATGTGAAAGAGAGCTGTCACATACAAGTATTTATCTCGGTACGTATGCAATTAAAATAATTCTCATTGTTAAGATCACTCTTCCTCTCGTTTTTGGATTCACAAAATTGTCATTTAGACTATTAGTGCAAAACTAAGAATACTTTATGATGTAAATACGGTGTGAATACATAAAATTCTGTCATGGTGAGGTTAGGTTATATTCGTAAAGTCAATCAAGTTTGTTCGTTTTATTTGCGTCCGTACTGAACATAAAGGTCTATTCACGGATAACCAAAAAATGGACCAATCACGTATCTAATACAAAGAACATAGTAATATGATACTTTTTACGCTAAATTTGGTCTACTTTTCTTGCAATTATAATATTATTATTTATGTAACAAGGTTTTAAAGAAATTGTAACCGTAAACATTACATGAAAAAAATCTTTAGAGGCTCAGAAATTCTCTCATTGCGCAAGGTTTGTTCGCGTTGCTTAAATCCCTAAACATTTTTGCACTTGAAATTAGATAAATATATATTCGGCCGTTGGAGAGAGAGAAAGCAAAGATGCTGAATGCAAAAAGTGCAAGCAACGCGAATGGAGTGAATTGCACGATATATTTTTTTGTCTTGTGTTCTTTTTTGAACGTGTGTTTTATCGAATACAAAAGTAAGAAAGAACTAATCACATGGATGCATCCAATGCCACGTGCTTCAATTTAGAATTCTGCTTAACTGGGTCTTCTGACGACAATTTGATACTTGTGTCTTTTGTATTCTTCCAATTCGCGTAAGGCGATATCGATAGTTTTTATTCAATTTCATATAATTGCGATCTCGACAAAAATGGGACCTGTGAATCGAGCATTACATTGTTCGCGCTGGGGCGCTGAGAACGCCACGCCGCCGTCAGGTCGCCCGCGGGAAGGAACATGGCGGCGATGACAGGCTGGTGACAATCTGATATGTGGGGATGGGCGTCGCGCTAAACGTAGGAACGCGGCCTTTTTTTTCCTCCCGCCGTAATGATAATGAGTGGTGATACCGCGACGTATGAACATGGCGATCATTTGACACTGCAGTCGTCCTCCGATCCAGACGAGTCGCGGGTACTGCTGGTGATCCTGCTACTGCTGGGGATCGTGCGGGGGTAGCGATCCCACGACCCACGTTCGGTACCGAAATCAACAACCGACGTTGGCCCAAGGCTCCGCGATAACACGCGCACGGAGGGCTCCGCGAAGGCCGGAGGAGATCCACGGGAGATCGAACAAGAAATACCTCTCGCAGGCGCGCCGCGTCGACTTGTCGTCGGGAGGCGTATAGCGAGAAGACGTTCCGTTCCGGACCGGAGGCTGCGAGTCTGCGGACAGTGCGACGCAGCATCGAGGGAGGAGCGACGCGCGTCATATGCGCTAAGATGGCCCGGGAGTACGATCATCTGTTCAAGCTGCTCATCATAGGGGACAGCGGTAAATATAATGCACGCGGGTTTGCAGCATCACCGTGCGCCGAACCGTCCGCGGTGACGTACGATTTCTCGTTCGTCGCGTTGGCCACGCTCTCCTGCGCTCTATGTATAACCTCCTTTGTTTCTATCGCTATTTTTCTTTCTCTCCCCCTTTTTCCCCCCTTCTCTGTCTCTCTTTCTCTCTCTCTCTCTTTCTCTTTCTCTCTCGTAAATTTCATTCCAGATGCGAAAGACGTGAAAAGATTGCGGCGGAAAAAGGACGGATTGTGTCGCGCCGAGCGTCGCCATGCGAGCTGATCGCCTGTCATTACGCGGTTTTAGCGGCAGTTTATTAAATGATGGGGCCCGACAATGGACTATACATGTCGGCTATCCATCGCACCGCCGCCCGGCGTGGTGCTTAGATTTCATGATGCGAAAATTGTTCTTCCTGCACGACAGATTTAGAACGGTGGTGGAGGATAATGCATCACGTCGCGATAATGGGGAGCTAAAAATAACAAAGAGATTAAATAAGAGAGAGAGAGAGAGAAAGAGATTAAGTAGGATAATTTTTTATCCTATTTAGTTTAAAGTGGATAGAATAAACTATAAAATACAAAGCATCTTGTATTGGAATAATATGGAAACTGAAAGATATTTGTTATCATTCACTCATTTCTTTGTGTATTTATATATAATGTTTTCTCTGTTCTATTTTCTTTCTCTTTGATGTTTCTCCTGATAGTTAAGTAATTTTTCATTCTATTTAATTTAATATAGATAGAAGTAATTAATAGGTGCTGCACTGGACTGCATTAGAACTTTTCTTCTTGCTTTCACAAATTTCAAACATTATATATATGTATATACACCTATTTTAGTTTAAGTACAGAAAGTATACACTAATTTAGCTATAAAAAAAATAGACCTTATATGTCACAATGTTACAATAGTTATTTGTGCAACAAGTGCTGTAAGATGAAAATTCTCAGGTGCGGTGACCGCACTCGCCTTCGGCTCGTGCGTCAACTCTGCACCCGTGAATTTTCATCTTTACGCACGGCTTGCACACCCTATTTTATGTTGCAAGTGCCTGGAAAGTAGTCTATCACGCACGCGTAGCGTGCGTAATGGGTCACTTTCCATGCACGTGTTACATAAAGCGTCTTGTATAATGCGTCTTGGAATAATATGAGAAATGACATGTGTTTGTCATAATTTTATTTTGAAAATATTTATGCCTTTCTTTTATGCCTTCTTTAAACAACTTACTTATATACATCTTAATATAAAAAATAATTTTTTTCTATTCTTTTTTTTAAGGCGTAGGCAAAAGCTCGCTGCTTCTAAGATTCGCTGACAATACCTTCAACGGCAGTTACATCACTACGATAGGAGTGGACTTTAAGATACAAACCGTGGAGGTAGACGGTGAGCGGGTAAAGCTGCAAATTTGGGATACCGCTGGACAAGAACGTTTCCGGACAATAACTTCAACTTACTATAGGGGAACGCACGGCGTTATAGTTGTGTACGATGTGACCAGCGGTGATACGTTCGCGAACGTTAAACGGTGGTTGCATGAAATCGAACAGAATTGTGATGTGGTTAACAGGGTACTCGTAGGGAATAAAAATGACGCACCTAATCAGAAGGTGGTGTTAACGGAAGACGCGCAAAGATTCGCCAATCAAATGGGGATTCAGTTATTTGAAACTTCCGCTAAGGACAACATCAATGTCGAGGAGGTATGCGTATATATATATTACGTTGGTTTCTTTTTGTTATTAATTTATCAGGCTGTAAAATAAAACTAGAAACTTTTTTCAACTTGTTTTACGATTATTTCTTTATTGTACTGATGATAAGATTACTTTATGAAAGTTGAAAAATACTTTAAATTCAGCTAAATTAATTTATACTTTATACACCTCACTGTAAGTTAATAGTAATGCGTTACTTGCAGATGTTTATGGCAATAACGCGGCAAGTGTTGCGGACCAAAAAAGAGCGTAAGGAGCGACAAGCCATACAGACTAATGAGACAGTCAACTTGAGGAAAAGCACAAAACAGCACAGGAAAAAATGTTGTTAGCGAGCGTTGTACAAGCACGCTACTCCCTATAAACGAAATATTCTTTGATACGATAATTAGGACAGAATAAAACAGAGAGCATGTGTTAGTATTACGAGCGGACATGAGACGCTGGAAACCCTGATATTTTCTAACACTGAGTTTTGTATTCCAATTACGATACCTAAGATTGTATCCTAACTAAAGTATACTTTTTTGACGTTAGTATTTAACATAATAGAATCGAAATGTCGAACGAGCGCGTAGGGCTTATTTAGTGAACACGATATCGTGTATGCGGCATTCTTTTTTAACGTGTCGAATACTTTCGCGTGCTGCGTTGAAGAACAAAGGCCTATTCATTTGTAATATTTACGGAAGGGTAACTCTCACTCACATATACGCGTATATGTTAAAAACCATCGTGTTTTACATACACACATTTTATACACAAGTGGCGTTTCATATTATGTAATCGTTAAACGAAACTAACGAACATCTTCCGCTAATTTTTCTAGGGTCATTTTGAGCATTGTAAAATTTTGCTGCATTGAACAATGAGTTACCATATGCTAAATAAGTCGTGTTTAGAGCGAGTAGGATTAAAGTTTCTTGAACAAACGGGCGACAAATATTGTTAGCTGGTCCAAATAATTTTTAGGGCGTTTTATTAGTAAAATTAAGGTTCCTGTAGTTCGATGACGCTTTCAAATACGATTTAAAAGATTCAGTTGGAATGGATTAATGATATATGCAACGGCATTATACATGGTATAAAAAAAAGATTGCTATACGAAAATTGCTTGGTCATATGAAATTCAACATACTTCCTGTCGTAAGACTGTCACAAAATATGAAGACTAATCAACAAGATTTATTAACAATAGCCGCATTTACAATATGTATTTCGTAAAAATTTATAATTAGTTATAATTAATTCTTATTAAAATTTTAAAATTGATGGAATCTGCGAGCATCTAATTTGTACATTAAATAATATATTTAAAAGCACATTTTTTAAAAAAAGTTTTAAATAATACCCTATATAAAATTATCGAATACGATCTTCTTTCTTATAATTTTTTAAGATTTTTAAATTTGCTAGCCAAAAGTATCAGTTATATGTTATTGCTTCCATTAGGATGCGCAAGTATTTATATCGCGTGCATCATTATGCATTAATAAAATATTGAACAGTATTATCTTATTTGTTTAATTCTGTGTATGAATCTAATGTTTCTTTAATGGCTCGGTAACGAGGGAAAGACGAAAAGCTTGTAAACGTCCGAATTTTATATACTCAAATATATAAATACGCAGGTTTTAAATTGCCCATGCATTTTTGCGACAAACACATATACATATATACACACATACACACGATTAAATATTTATTGCAGAAGGGTAGATAGCAAGATGATAAAATATAACGATCGGTCATGTCCAGCTATGACAGAAGCTGTCTGTATTAATCTGTGATAATAGTTAAGATAATGTCGCCAGCTGCCACTGTAATACTGCTGCGTGTACCTTATACTCCCCGCTCCCGTTGTAATTGTTGTAATTAATATCGCTATTATTTCCTCTTTTTTTTTTCTTTTTAGTATCAATTACATATCTCCCTTAGAGGCAATAAAGCGACATCCTACAATGTGTACATATTCTCAACTTGCCAGTTTTAGTGGCATATTCACCAAGTATTTCAATCGAGCATATTCAATCTTGTTTACTGTTATACAGTTGCAACGTTGTAATATTATTATACATACGTATGATTATAAATAAATAGGAGTCTACATGTATGTACGAAACAAGTATCACCTTCACCCCCCTCCCCCCCAAGGGCTGAGCTGATTTCTACTCCAAGTTAGACGTATGTATTTTTCACGGAAAAATACCTAAAATATGTAAATATATAACGAAAGCTTTAAATTCGAACGTGAACGAACCCAGCCAATCTAAAGCTACATTGTTTGATCGATTTGGGTAACGCTCAAGGATTCGAGCCTCGATGTTATTGTCTACGCACTGAAATTCGAGTTCGAATCGAGCAAATATGTTACACGTTCGCGCTTGAAACATAATAACGTGGTCGTGTTTTGATCACGAAATTCCAAAGCATATTCACGCGTGTTTATCTCTTATTTATGCGCGAAAAGAAAGATACTGGCTCACACTTGTGACCTGTTATTGTTAATGTTTCTTGCGAAAGTACGATTTCGAAATTCACGATTTTCGACGATGAGACGCTACATAGGTATACAATCTGCGCAAAAAGAAGATAAAAATACATTCAATAAAATACCAAATGAACAACAGTGCTCTTTTACGTCTAGCCTCACCAGTATTTTCAAAAGAACACCCATCATGTAATATATAATTCTTTGTAATTATTCCTAAGTTACAAAATAATTTATACTTATGTCGTATGTCTTTCTTTAATGAATCTATAATAATAAAATCCGAGAAACAGTTTTACGAACGTAGAATATCGGCACTGCTATTTTTAATTTATTCTTTATTTATAGAGAATAGTATAATTATAAAAAGATGTATTATACACTATTACTTATTCAAGAGATTTCGTAATGGCATTTTTGTTGCCGTCTCTCTTTTTACACGTAATAACTCTCGTATCCATCATCTTTTTTTTATATATTTTTTCTTATTTCGCAGAATTATTACCGCCATTATATCATTATTATTCTTTTACTTTGCAGTTAAACATTGATCGTTCATAAGAAAAATTGCCGATCTTTTAAGATGGCATAAAATTTTGATGAAAATGTATATCCGCACGCTTTATTGATGTAACACGCAAAGTTTTCTCTTTTTAATGTTAGATTAATGAGAAATTATCCAATTCATCCGCGCGCGAGAATAGGCGACACGATCCCGTGTTGTATTTGCAATTGTTCTGCATAATGAGTATGTGCAAGCAGCTGTTGGTGCATCGATCGAACGAATATCTGGAATAAATTAAAATATCTCGCTCACCCTCGCACTCGTAAAATTTCTTGTGATAAGTGCGAATCGCATATGTTTTCCTCGAAAGTTTCGTTGATTATATATCGATAAACGTTGCTTTAACAGAAATGGTTTAGCTTCCTCGACACAACTGGCAACTTTATTGAAACATGTATTACACAC